GAAGACCAGGTGGGGTGGGGGGTGGTTAATGTAGTCGTATGAAGGGTAATGGATACCTGTAATTAGTGGGTTTATTGTCAAAATGTCACCGCAGATTACACAGGTGGGGATGGCACAGCAGAAGAGATCATCGTCCCAGCCCCGCTTACTGGGCAGCCTCGCATCCAATTGCAGACCAGGTGCTAATGTCTGCCACTTGGGGGGTGGGGGGGGGAGACTAGGCCACTACTATACACTACACTATACACTACACTTTACACTACACTATACACTAGGCTGTAGTAGTACACTACACACTACACTGTACACTATACACTACACTACACACTACACTACACACTACACTATACTGTACACTATACACTAGTGCTGTACTAGTACACTACACCACACTGTACACTATACACTACACTACACACAAAACTACACACTACACTACACACTACACTATACTGTACACTACACTATACACTGCACTGTTGCAGCTTCACTTCGGTTCTCCACCGCCATCGGCCCCTCGGTGTTGTAACTCTCTCTCCATATCCCCTCTGCACATCCGCACTGTCGAATGCACTTGGAGCTTTCAAGGAACGTCTGAAGGCCTCTCTCAAATCTGTGTCTGGGTCTCAGGGCTCTCGAGCAGCCCCCGAGCTTGGCTCCACACCTCTCGTCTGTAGAATCTGGCGCATTGTAAACGTCATAATCATTATGATTATTATTCTCGAGTAATCGGGTTTTTGAAGCCCAGCGTGTCCGTCAAGTAAATTATAAGAGAGCCTTTTAAAAGGCCTGAATCAACAAGTTACAGCAATTCATATTCTTTGGGTGATATTGTTATTACTCTGATTATTTTTTCTCTATCTACGTGGCTTTACCGAAAGACCCAAAGAATATGAATTCCTGCAGTCACGAAAGCTTTAAGTCAAGATTTAAGTTACAGGAAGAGGGCTCCTGCCCCAGATGTGGGGGTAAAAAGTTGATCCAACAGGGTTCCAAAAATTTCACTACCACCCCCCACATTTTTTTTCTTATGTAGGCATATATACCTACACACCCTACATACAATAGAGTCAGTATCTACTACACACCCTACATACAATGGAGTTTGTAGTATCTACTACACACCCTACGTATAATAGTCGGTAGTGTCTACTCCATACCCTACATTTAATAGTCAGTATTATCTGCACACGGGGAGAAGAAGAGGACATAGCACTAGCATCTCTATAGCACTAGCATCTCTATAGCACTATCATCTCTATAGCACTAGCATCTCTATAGCACTATCATCTCTATAGCGCTAGAATCTCTCGTGCTATAGAGATGTTTTTTTTTCCACAGATGTCCAGCAGTGGGCGTCGGGGAAGATCTGTAATCCTGGCCTCGCCAGAAGGCGGTCATAGATAAAATGTGCCCGTTCCGTCTTGTCTGGGATATAGCGTTTCTCCCTCTTCGCACCTGTAGGTTTTTCTGTCCGGGCTGCTCTGGCCGAAAACGCCTTGGTACGTAGAGGACTGCGGAGCTTGGGCAGTTGCTGGCACCGGCTCCCTGCTGGGGGCTGCCTTTCCCCCGCTGGTCTTTGGTTCCTCCTCGCATCTCTAGAGAGGCGTTTTCTCTCTCTCTCTCTGCATGTGTGAGAGTGAGCGACTTCCCTGCGGTGTCGCGTTACAAGCTGCCATTGTTATTATTACTCTGTGGGTGCCGTGAGTAGCCGTGGTGAGAGCGTATCTCCTGCTTGATTTCCGATTTTGTATATTTTTTTCTTTTGTTTTTTTTACCGCTTCTTCCGTCATAAGATGGCGGCCACCGATGTACGCGCGGTCGTGTTCTCCCATAGCGCCGCGTGTGGTTTTCACAACGCGGATTGGACACAACGCCGTGAACGTATCGTGGGGGAGCGCATTTTTTGTTAATGACGCGGATTACGAATTGTGATGCGGCGCAACGGTGCGAACGGAACTCCGCCGCGGTGCGAGCAGGAATAGGCGACGGTCGTAACACGGCTGCCTCGGCGTAGCGTCACCACCGCACAAGGCGTTGGGATGCTGCTGGATGCTTCTCCGCTGGTGGTTCGTGACCTTTACTGCAGCCTTGCCCACAACCTTGGGTCCTCAGTCGTTACAAAAAAAAATGTACAATGTTAATAACGACATAGGTTTTTTGATGAAACAAAGTAAGTTGTTGCCTTACGTTGCCCGTAGCTTAATTTGTGTTTTTCTATGACCTTCAAAAATAAATCTGGACGTGCCCCCAGGGGTTGTGTGCAGCCCAAATTAAGAAGAACCACACTGGTCTAGACGCTACCCACATGGCATCTCTCTGTCTTTGATCAGGCCCTGCGCTATGCATCTCGTTGTCCTTCAGGAACGCAGCTACTACCACCGCCACGTTGCAGGAGAACAGACTGGATGTATTTGTATGAATAGGTTTTTGCCTTTGTGGCGCTAAAAGAGGAGGCTTTACGATGTTAAAACACCAAACGGAAACCTTTTTGCAAGGAATCATGTCTGCATTAAACACGCATGCTTGTGGTGAACATGCAAACAAAAACATGCTCTCGTAGTATATGATGCATTGTCTTTGAAACGGATCAGTCCAGACCAGAGACGGCTTTCTTTAGAGCCTAGTCTCAAACAGTGTTCGACCTTTTGGCGTCCTCTGGTTTTATTGCCAGAAAGGGTAAAACCTATTCCTGTATTTTGATAATGGCAAGAAAAGGCCCCATGATGGAGCTGCTCACCCCGAGCTTTGTTGTTCGCCTTTTGTAATGAACTCGCTACACCTGAGATCCCGGTGATTTAATCACGTTACTGTTTATTTTACCAGGTAAGTCCTGCTGAGCTATGTAGCTTAATTTCAGAGCCGACCTGGCGATCACAAATGACAGCTCAACGAAGTGGCTCATCGTCATCATCACGTGGGAATTTATAGCGGTCAAACACTCTAAAACGCATGTTGTTGATTCTAAGAACCTGGAGAGAGACACGCAAACTCTGAACATACAGCAGGCGTCAGGGTCTGGATGGAACCCACGACCTCTTGTACACCGGGCGAGGTAGTTAACATCTCGCAACCGCAGCACCCATGCGGTGGTTGACACCTGGACTCGAACCCAGGATCCCAGCCGGTGGTGCCGATTCAGCGGCTGTGAACTTTGTGCCACCCCGGGGCCAGCGAGCTCGCCTGCCCTGTAACCTTAACAACAAACAACCAGAGCCCACCCATCCACCTCCCCCCCCCCTCTCACGTTCCACTTGGGGGGGTGGGGGAGAATTGACTAGTTCACACAAAGTCTGCAGGGCCATTCTCCAATGTAAATTTCAGTGGGGTGGGGGGGGGCGTTCATTATTTTTGTTTTCGTCGTCGTACAGTCCGTCCTCCTCTGCGGCGAGTGTTTCCACGACGCCCGTTGGATACAGCGCGACGGATGGGTGCATTATAGACGACGTGTTGTTTTTATAGCGCGGACGCGAAGTGGGTATGCACACGGCCATCGAGCGAGCGGAACTCCGCAGGAATAAGCGGCGGTCGTAGCACGGCTGCCTCCCCGGTGTAGCGTCATCGCCACACGAGTCGTTGGGAGGCTGCTGGATGCTTCTAGAGCAGTGGTTCGTAACCTTTGCTGCAGCCTGCACCGCCCTTTGGTTCTCAATCTTTAAAACGATGTATATTGTGAATAAATACATCGGGGCTTGATGAATTAAAGTAAGTTGTAACTTACGCTGCTGCGCGTGGCTTAATTTGTGTTTTCGATGATTTACCTTCTAAATGAATCTGGCCGTGTCTCGCTACTCCCCAGAAGGGGCATCTCGCACCTCCAGGGGTTGGCATGATGCACCCCAGGTTAAGAGAACCACACTGCTCTAGACACTACCCACGCGCCTCGGTCTTTGTTTGGGCCCTGCGTTACCCATTTTGCGTGTTATAGCTGTACTGTGCTTAACCCCCCATATAAATAACTAGCTTATAATACACGGCGTTGCCCGGGCCAAAAAAATATTTCAAAACTACTCTTAAAAATCTATACAGCAGTGCGTACTGTGGTGGTACCTGCTATGATTACAGCAGTGCATACCGACTGTGGTGGTACCTGCTATCACTACAGTAGTACATGCTGACTCTATAGCAGTTATTTATTGACTCTATAGCACAAAGTACTCACCTGACAGAGTGGCGTGGTGAGGCCTAGTCCCGTGCAGAGCCTCCGGCCTCGCCTAGATTGTCCAGCCGGCCGAGGTGGCACCTTGGCAGGCTGGGGCTGGGCTGCTAACCCTGACCCCCCAGCCACGAACTCCCAGGCCGCTCTGCAGTAATATCTACGGCCTATAGTGGTAGCATCTAGCGACTGTATATATTAGTAACTGCACGCATCGGGGTGGGGGGGGACATCACACAGTGAAGATTTAAGCTCAGCGTTTAATGTATGTTTAAAGCATTTTTAACACCAAAGAAAATGTCCCCCTCACTCCCACCGAAGGCGTGCGACTTGGCATGGGCCGTCCCCCCCACCAAAGGTGCGTGAGTTGGTCGTGCACGCGTCTTGAATAAATAAATAAAGATGTAGCGCAAAAAAATCGCGCGAAATCGCTAATTAAACTTATTAAAAGTTTACGGATGTGAAAAAGTAAAGGCGCTTGCTCACGGCGGGGCTTAAGCCACAAAGTGACAAACGGACAATTTTTTTATTTTTTTCTATAAATATATAATGATTATTAATAATGCAATTTTTTTCCCATGACGCTGTGTCCTTCAAGAACGCAACTACTACCTGCCGCGTTGTCGGAGAACGAGACTCTACCCGCGTTGTACTTGGAAAAGAATTCCCAGGAAAGCCTCGCTGAGTTAAGACTTCTTTTACAGGAGGGTCGTGGCAAATTTTTTATGTTGGGGGGGTGGGGGGGGAGTTGCGCGATGTTCCGCTGCTGCTATGTGCGTGCGGTCCCGCCCCGCGTAACCAGCCACACTCACGTTGGGTGGGCTGTGTCCGCGTTCGCAGGGCTGCGAGCGACGTCGGAACATCGCCGCCTCCCTCGTCTCCTGCGACGGACGCGACCATCGCCAGGCAGCCCGGTCGCTAGGGCAACGCGGTCGCCATGGACACGGAGTCGCAGTTCTCGGGATACTCCTACAGCTCCGGGTACTCGCGGGGCTCCAGGCATCAACGGTAACGACGTGGGCGGCCGGCTCCCGGCCGGGGGAGTTTGTACGGACGGTCCTGTTCTCCCGCAGCGCGGCAGTAGTTGCCGTTGCTGAAGGACGCCGCTCTGTGGGGAAAGTGGCGTTATAACAACGAGCATTTATTCAGTGGGGATTCACGGGTTGAGTGAAAGATGCACAGTTACACGGTGTTAGTCGCCAAGCGATAAGAGAGCGTTGCCGTGAGTGATGAGGATGATGAAGGTGCGAGGATGATGATGGGGAGGAGGATGATGGGGAGGAGGATGATGAGTTGCCGTGTGTGTCGCTGTGTTGCTCTGCGTGTGTGTTGTGCTGCTGTCGTGACGGTGGTGGCATCTACCCTCCTCGCTCGCCCCTCTCCTCCTCCCTGCCGCCAGTGACCGGAACCGGCACAAGCACCGTGGCCGCGAGGGCAGCGGCCGAGGGGACAAGTCTGTGACGATTCACATGCCTAGCGGGGGCCAGGCCGCCGAGGCGCTAATCGACAAGGACGGCAGCAGCCGTCCCGCCGAGGATGTTATTCAGGTCGAGATTTTACCTCAGGTCCTGCACGCACCTCGAGGAGCACACGAGCAAGGCCCAACGCACATGTGCAGCGTCGGCCTGAACACGCAGTAGCCTGAAACACACACGTGCAGTAGCCTGAAACACACACGTGCAGCAGCCTGAAACACACACACACGTGCAGTAGCCCGAAACACACACACGTGCAGTAGCCTGAAACACACACACGTGCAGTAGCCTGAAACACACACACGTGCAGTAGCCTGAAACACACACACGTGCAGTAGCCTGAAACACACACACGTGCAGTAGCCTGAAACACACACACGTGCAGTAGCAGCCTCAAGACAGAGGCGCAGGAGCCTCAACACACTCAGTAGCAGCCTCAACACAGACACTCAGTAGTAGCCTCAACACAGACACGCAGTAAGCCTCAACGCAGACATGCAGTAAGCCTCAACACAGACACGCAGCTGCCTCAACACAGACACTCAGTAGTAGCCTCAACACAGACAGGCAGCAGTTGCCTCAACACAGACACGCAGTAGTAGCCTCAACACAGACACTCAGCAGTAGCCTCAACACAGACAGGCAGCAGTTGCCTCAACACAGACACTCAGTAGTAGCCTCAACACAGACACGCAGTAGCCTCAACACAGACACGCAGTAGCAGCCTCAACATGGACACTCAGCAGTAGCCTCAACACAGACACTCAGTAGTAGCCTCAACACAGACACTCAGCAGCAGCCTCAACACAGGCACTCAGTAGTAGCCTCAACACAGACACTCAGTGGTTGACTCAAAACAGACACTCAGTAGTAGCCTCAACACAGACACTCAGTAGTAGCCTCAACACAGACACTCAGTAGCAGCCTCAACACAGACACGCAGTAGCAGCCTCAACACAGACGCAGTATCAGCCTCAACACAGACACGCAGTAGTCGCCTCAGCACAGACACGCAGTAGTAGCCTCAACACAGACACTCAGTGGTTGCCTCAACACAGACACTCAGTAGTAGCCTCAACACAGACACTCAGCAGTAGCCTCAACACAGGCACTCTGTAGTAGCCTCAATACAGACACCCAGTAGTAGCCTCAACACAGACACGCAGTAGTAGCCTCAACACAGACACGCAGTAGTAGCCTCAACACAGACACTCAGTAGTAGCCTCAACACAGACACTCAGTAGTTGCCTCAACACAGACACTCAGTAGTAGCCTCAACACGCACACGCAGCAGCCTCCACACATACATTCAGTAGTAGCCTCAACACAGACACGCAGTAGTAGCCTCAACACAGACACGCAGTAGTAGCCTCAACACAGACACGCAGTAGTAGCCTTAACACAGACACACAGCAGTAGTAGCCTCAACACAGACACACAGCAGTAGTAGCCTCAACACAGACACGTAGTAGTAGCCTCAACACAGACACGCAGTAGTAGCCTCAACACAGACACTCAGTAGTAGCCTCAACACAGACACTCAGCAGTAGCCTCAACACAGGCACTCTGTAGTAGCCTCAACACAGACACGCTGCAGCCTTAACACAGACATGCTGTAGAAGCCTCAACACAGACACGCAGTAGTAGCCTCAACACAGACACGCAGTAGTAGCCTCAACACAGACACGCAGTAGTAGCCTCAACACAGACACTCAGTAGTAGCCTCAACACAGACACTCAGTAGTTGCCTCAACACAGACACTCAGTAGTAGCCTCAACACGCACACGCAGCAGCCTCCACACATACATTCAGTAGTAGCCTCAACACAGACACGCAGTAGTAGCCTCAACACAGACACGCAGTAGTAGCCTCAACACAGACACGCAGTAGTAGCCTTAACACAGACACACAGCAGTAGTAGCCTCAACACAGACACACAGCAGTAGTAGCCTCAACACAGACACGTAGTAGTAGCCTCAACACAGACACGCAGTAGTAGCCTCAACACAGACACGCTGTAGAAGCCTCAACACAGACACGTAGTAGTAGCCTCAACACAGACACGCAGTAGTAGCCTCAACACAGACACGCTGTAGAAGCCTCAACACAGACACGCAGCAGCAGCCTCAACACAGACACGTAGCAGCCTCAACACAGACGCAGTACCAGCCTCAACACAGACGCAGTAGCAGCCTCAACACAGACACGCAGTAGTAGCCTCAACACAGACACTGCTTGCCAACTGGCACCACCTACCCAATCTCTCTCTCCTCTCTCTGCCAACTCTCCTCCGTCTCTCCTCACCCCACACTCCCCCTCTCCTTCCACTACCTCACTCATCTCCACTATCCCTCCCCCCGCCTACCCCTTTCCTCAATCACTTACCCCCCCCCCTTCAAAGGCAAAGATCTCCCGTATAGCTTTAAAGGACTGTTGGGGCAAGGGCTGTTAGGGAGTAGCACCTTCGAAGGTCAGCATGGCACACGAGGGGGTGGGTGGCCAGCACTACACACTGCACCAGGTACTCATTTTCAGCCAATTCGACCGAGGGGGAGGCCCAGTACCAGTTAATATCATCGTCACTGGTGTTGGTAGTCATGGGCACGAATCGAAACCGGGTCTCTACTCGTTTGAGGCTGGTCGCCATGGTGGTGAGATGTTAACTACCTCATCTGGTATGCAGGAGGTCGTCAGTTCCATCCCAACCCTGACGCGTGCTGCTATATATTAGGAGTTTGCGTCTCTCTCTCATCATCATGATCACGGTGACTAGGAGATGTTAACTACCTCGTCTGGTATTCAGGAGGTCAGGGATTCCATCACAACCCTGACGCCTGCTGCTATAGATTTGGAGTTTCCGTGTCTCTGGTCATCATCATCACGGTGACTGAGATGTTAACTACCTCACCTGGTATGCAGGAGTTCGGGGATTCCATCCCAACCCTGGCGCCTGCTGCTATATATTTAGAGTTTGTGTGTCCCTGATCATCATCACGGTGACTAGGAGATGTTAACTACCTCGCCTGGTATGCAGGAGGTCGTGTATTCGATCCCGACCCTGACACCTACTGTATATTTGGAGTTTGCGTGCGTGTCTCTCTCTTTCCCCCGTGGTTGCGTGGATTTTTCTCCCGGGTCCTCCCGTTTTGTCCTTCCGTCTTTAGAGCATTTGGCTGCTGCTATACACTTGGTTGAGCTCTCTCATTTGCGGTGGCCAGGTCGCGTCTGAAAAAAGGCTACATAGCAGCTCAGTGTGGGCCTCACCTGTAAATTCAACATGATTTATCCATAAAGCCTACTTGTTGAACCAGCTGGACCTAGGGGAGTCCCCAGGACAGGTCCAGATAATCGTCACCGGTGTTAACCGTGAGCAGGGAATCGAACTCGGGTTGCCGGGTTCGTGGCGCAGCACGTTAACCACTACACTACTGTCCCCCCCCCTCCCCCCCCCCACACACACAGACAAAGATCACCCGTATAGCCTCAACAGACTGTTGGGGCAAGTGCCGTTAGCGAGCAGCACCTACGAAGGCCCGGCACGTCACACGAGGGGGTGGGTGGCTCATTTGAGGCCGAGTCGACCTAGGGGGGAAGCCCTGGAGCTCGAGGAAGCTGTTGGCTAACCGCCGCTCGCTCCCGTCCCCCCCACACGCATCCGTCTCTCCAGGATGACAACTGGGGCGAGACAACCACGGTGGTGACGGGCACGTCGGAGCAGAGCACGTCGCGCGAGGACTTCGCGGCCCTCTTCCGCGAGCCCCCGGCGCCCGAGGGCCGCGGCGGCCGCGCCGGCCGCCACGCCGGCCGCGCCGCCTCGGCCGTCCTGGGGGCCCTGGCCCTGCTGTCGCCCGTCGCCTTCCTCGCCATCCCGCACGCGCTGTGGCGCGACGAGCTGCAGCCGTGCGGCACCGCCTGCGAGGGCCTCTTCCTGTCGCTCGCCTTCAAGCTGCTGGCGCTCGCCGTGGGCACGTGGGCGCTGTTCGCCCGCGGGCCCCGGCACGCGCTGCCCCGCGTGCGGGCGCTGCGCGCCCTCGTGCTCGCGCTCGGCTTCCTGCTGCTGCTCGCCTTCTGGCTCTTCTTCGGCGCCCGCATCCTGGCGAGCCGCGACCCCGACTACCGGGGCATCGCGCAGTACGCGCTCTCGCTCGCCGACTCGCTCCTCTTCCTGCACTACCTGGCGCTTGTGCTGCTCGAGCTGCGCCAGCTGCGGCCCGCGTTCGCCGTCAAGGTGGTGCGAGCGACCGACGGGGAGAGCCGAGTCTACAGCCTCGGGCAGCTCAGGTACCGGTGGCGGGTGGCGGGGTGGCGGGGGGGGGGGAGGCGGTGGCCGCGGTGGCCGGGGGGGGGGGATGTTGACTGCCTCTCTCGCCCCTGGCATGCGGGAGGTCGTGGGTTCCGATCACCGGAACCCTGACACGATGCCCGTTGTGTATTTGAAGGTATTTGCGGCATGCCGGTGCAGCGTAACGCGCCGGTCCTCGCGAAACCGGTGCTGAAATAAAAAATTCCGACTGACATTCGTCTTGCGACCGCTTTGCGCATCACGAGAACTGATTTTTGACGCACCACCACCACCAGCAGCCGCGCAAGATTTTCTGACCGGGGGATTGCAAAACGCGGGAAAATAAATCATTATTGCGAACACATACATGTATATATAGTTTAACACGCAGCCTTTGTCGACCAATATCATCCATGATATCGATTTTTTTTTGGGTTAGATCGCGTAAATATAGATGCGTCGTTAAACTCAAATCTGTCTGTCGCCTGATGAAGCTAGTTGTAATTACTGTCGAAATGTCGTACTCAGATTTGCTCTCCAACACACCGGTTAGTGCTGCGCTGGTAACGAATTTGGCCACGTTCTGTTTACGTGACGCTAAACCCTATTAACTGTCCGTGTCGGGTGGTGGCGGGCTTAACGACACAACATTAATATTTATGCGGTCTGACCCAAGGAAAAAACTATTATGGATATTTATTTATTTTCCCCCCCATGCACTGCCGGTGTACCGCCAATCCGTTCATTCGGTCTGTGTCTCTCTCCCCCGTGGTCGTGTGGATTTTTTCCCTCCGGGTCCTCCGCTTTTTCATCCCTCCGCATTCAGAATCGACGTCACGCCAAACATTTCCACGCGGCGGCGGGGACGACGACGATAAGCCCACTTCCGTCGGGCAGCTATCATTTGCGGCCAGGTCACTTCTGAAAAAGCGTTACATAGCTCAGTGGGCCTTAACTGGTTAAATACAAATTAGAGCCGGAGCTAACTGGTGGAGTCCACATTTTTGGCGTACCGCCTTCTCCTGGCGAGCCAGGGTACGGCTCCTCCTCGACGCCCGCGGGAAGGGAGTTTCACACCCCGTCCGTGTGTGATCCACCAACCCTCACTGCTGCCGCCTCCACAGCGCTGGGTTACAGCTGCCACGTGCAGCAGCGTAGCCACCATCGCCGCCACCGCCCGGCTAATAAATATCCCTGTGCATCCCCCTCCACCTCCACACCACTTTCCTCCCATTGCATCACCGTGACCTCCCACGCACGCCACTGTGACCTCTCTCACTCCTGCCCTTCCCCTTTCCCTCTCCCCCGTGATCTCCCCCCCCCCCCCCCCCAAGACCCCCCCCCCCACAACCTCTCAGGGGCGTACCCAGTGCCATCATGTTGTGCACAGTGCAATAGGCCAGATGCTGTAAATAGTTTTAGTTTTAACATCCAGCCTGAAGGACACCGCATGATACAAAAATCGCGTTATAATAAATAATAATAATATATAATGTAGGGTTAAAGCTCAGTCCACGATAACAGGTTAGATTCGTAACGCAGGCCAGTGGTTCTTAACCGGGGGTGCGAGACACGGCCAGATTTTCTTTTTAGAAAGTAAATCATCAAACACAAATTAAGCCACGGGCAACGTAAACAACAACTTTGTTCAGCCAAAACCCATGTAGTTATTACCATTGTACATTTTTTTGTTACGATTGAGAACCGAAGGGGTGGCAAGGCTGCAGTAAAGGTTACGAACCGCCGTGCGTAGAAGCATCCAGCAGCATCCCCAACGCCTTGTGCGGTGGTGACGCTACGCGGAGGCAGCCGTGTTACGACCGCCGCTTATTCCTACTCGCGCCGCGGCGAGGTTCTGTTCGCTCGGTCGCGTCGCGTCACAATTCGCCTTCGAAAGAACGCGTTCCCCAACACGCTCATCGCGTTCTATATACATGTATGTCGGTCCTGATTTGCGTCGTGAAAGTCGGGCGCTATCGCAGGACTGACGGTGCATGTACCGCGCCCGCAGCATACAGAGCGCGAGCGTGTGCGTGCTGGAGAGCTACTACCGCGACTTCTCCGTCTACAACCCCGCGCTGCTCAAGGTGCCCAAGTCGCGCGCCCTCAAGCACCTCACAGGCTTCAAGGTGTACGACGTGGACGGTGAGACGGTGGGGGGGTGGGGGACAAGCGGGGGTGCCTGTGTGTGCCTGTGTGTGTCTGTCTGTGTGTGTGTGTGCGAGTGGGGAGCGGTAGTGTAGCGGTTAGCGCGCTGCGCTATGAACCTGGCGACTCGGGTTCGATTCCCGCTCACGGCCAAAACCAGTGACGATTATCTGAACCGGTCCCGGGCCTCCCCTAGGTCGACTCAGCCTCAAATGAGTACTTGGTGCGGTGTGTAAACATTGCCACTAGGGAGACAAAGGCGGTCGGGCGTGGTGCTGGCCACCCACCCCCTCGTGTACCGTTCCGGCCTTAATAGGTGCTCGCTAACAGCACTTGCCCCTACAGTCTGTTAAGGCTATGCGGGGGATCTTTGTCTTTGTTTGTGTGTGCGAGTGGTAGTGTAGCGATTAGCGTGCTGCGCTACGAACCCGGTGGACCGATTTCGAATCCCGCTAACGGCCAACACCAGTGACAATTATCCGAACCGTTCCTGGGCCTCCCCTAGGTCGACTCGGCCTCAAATTAGTGCCCTGTGCGGTGTGTAGTAAACATCGCCGCCGGGGAGACAAAGGCGGCCAGGCGTGGTGCTGGCCACCTCACCCCCTCGTGTGCTGTACCGGCCTTCATAGGTGTTGCCACTATCCTAACCACACTTGCCCCAATAGTGTTTTCAGGCTATACAGGGTATATTTGTCTTTATGTGTGTGTGGAGCAGTAGTGTAGTGGTTAAGGCACTGCGCTATGACACCGGCGACCCGAGTTCGAATCCCGCTCGCGTCCAACACCGGTGACGATTATCCGGACCGGTCCTGGGCCCCCCCTAGGTCGACTTATCCTCAAATACGTGCCTGGCGCGGTGTGTAGTCAACACCGCCATTAGCGGAGACAAAGGCGGCCGGGCATGGTGCTGGCCACCCGCCCCACCTCGTGTGCCTTTGCCGGCCTTCATAGGTGCGACTCGCACGCAGCACTTGCCCCAACAGTCTGTTACAGGCGACACATGGTGGTTGGGGGTTGGGTGTCTTTTTCTTGTGTGATTGTGGCGCTAACGCGTCGTCGTCGTCGTCAACGCCGTCGTCGCTGTCATTGTCGTCCTCTGCGCCGCAGGCAACCCGAGCAACAACGTGGCGGGGCAGTCCCGGGCGATGATCGCGGCGGCCGCGAGGAGGCGCGACTCGGGCCACAACGAGCTCTACTACGAGGAGATGGAGAACGAGCGACGCATGCGCAAGCGGCGCGCGCGGTACGCTCGCACCTACAATAACCACAACAATCACAACAACACCAACAACACTCAACGTTTTATTGTTACCAGGTAGGGCCCACGCTCAGCTACTATAGATCCCCTTACCCGTCAACCCCTTACCTGTCAACCTCATACCTGCCAACCCCTTACCTGTCAACCCCTTACCTGTCAACCCCTTACCTGTCAACCCCTTACCCGTCAACCCCATACCTGTCAACCCCTTACCCGTCAACCCCTTACCCGTCAACCCCTTACCCGTCAACCCCTTACCTGTCAACCCCATACTTGTCAACCCCTTACCCGTCAACCTCTTACCCGTCAACCCCATACCCGTTAACCCCTTACCTGTCAACCCCATATCTGTCAACCCCTTACCTGTCAACCCCTTACCTGTCAACCCCTTACCTGTCAACCCCTTACCCGTCAACCCCTTACCCGTCAACCCCATACTTGTCAACCCCCATACCCTTCGGCCACACCCCTTCTGGATCTCACCAGAAGGTTCTCGACTGAGCATCACGTGTCCCTCAAGCCACCATTTGGGCCCCCTCGCTACCCTGTCCCGATCACTTGCCCTCTCGAGTTCACCCAGACCGTCACGTCCCTACTTGCCCTCTCTCTGACAGTCACCAGAACCATGCCCCCTAGGGGCCAGCTTCCATGCCATGCCCACTCTGGTGCCAGAGAGAAGCTCAAGACGCACAGTTCCACTCTTGTGACAGTAGCTGGCGCTAAACGCCATAGTGACTCCATTTACGTCACTGCATATATAGCTCTTTTTCAGAAGCAACCTTGCCGTTTGCAAATGATAGGCCAATGAAGTGGGCTTATCATCGTCATTGTCGTCGCCGTCGTGTGAAAATTTATAGCAGCCAAATACTCTAAATGCGTGGTTGATTGTAAATGTGGAGGGGAATATCGGAGGGCCCGGAGGTGTTGATTATACCACGACGTGGTTAACATCTCGGCATCTTGACGATGAGAGAGAGCCACGAAAACTCCAAATGTACAGCAGGTTTCGGGGTCTGGATCGAACTCGCGACCTCCTGCATACCAGGCGAGGTAGTTAACATCTTGCCACAACAGCCGCTGCCCCACCACTCCTCCTTTAGGGCATCGAGTCTGCATTAACGACATACAGCACTTGTGGCAAAACATGCAAACAAACATGCCCTGATAATAATCTATAAATATAAAAGGGAAATTTGTGAATATGTGCATACTTCCCGACATGCAACAAACTTGAAATTTGGCACGTGGGTAGCTTCCAGACTGTACACAATGCAAAAAGCATAAAAATAGACTTTTATATTTTGAAGGGGTGGGGTGCGCAATAATGGATATATTTTTGCACGGCAAGTGAGCGGTGACATCACATATGCGATGTAACCCGCATGCGGCAGCGTCACGCAGTGTGCCTGCTGACGTCACGCACCCGACCACCCTCCGCGTAGGCCGTTTATTAAGCCAAGACAAGAATCCAAGTCTCGGGCTAAGCCGGGTAGTTAAGCTTCTTATGATATATGGTGTTGTCTTTGAAACTGATTGGCCTGCACCAGAGACGGCAGCCTTTTTTTATGTCCGAGTGTCACCGGTGTCAGACCGGAGAACGCCAAAAGGTGAACAGGTATCAGAGCATTTACAGCTCAGGGTGAGCAGTTATATCTACGGGACATTTTTTGCCAGTTTAAAAGTATGAAAATAACAATATAGTTTACCCTTTATGGCAATGAAAATAGGTGTTGAGGTGTTCCAGGTGTTAAAATACCTTCATGAAAGGTAACAAGTCTGCATTAACTACACATGTGTGGCAAAACCAACATGGCTCTGATGATAATAATAATAATACTATGCATTGTCTTTGAAACGTATTGGCCTACACCAGATACTTTTTATGGCCTGTCTCACCAGTGTTAGACCAGAGAATGCTTTGAAGGTGAACAGTACAAAGCTCGAGTTGAGCAGCTATCTCTTAGGTGTTGGGCCAATCTGTTTTAAAGACAATGCATATATCATGAGAGCATGTTTGTTTGCATGTTTTCCCGCAAGTATGTGTGATTAATGCGAGGCTTTCAAAAGTTATATATTTGGTGTTTAAACATCTTAACACCTCTCTTGCCAGAAAGGGTTAAAGCCTCTTCTGATATTTTTTCTCATCATTTTTATACTAGCAATATGGGTCCCGCAGATCCTACTTCTAGGTATGTCTGGATGTTGTTTCCACGGGGCTGATGTTTAGACTACACCAGGTACCCATTTGAGGTTGATTTGACCTTCGGGGGAGGCCCAGCATCGGGATCAGATTTTTTTTTTTTACCGATCTTAGCCATGAGCGGGAATCGAACTCGGGTTGCTGGGTTCTGAGATTGGGGGAGGGTTAATCGCAGAGCTGCGCCCATTTATCCCCGTTGGAAAGTTCGCACCCGTTGGCTGGCTCGGTCGCCCGCCTGCCCACCCGCCCATTCATTCACCCACCCACCTGCTCACCTGCTCGCCCGTCCACCTGCTCACTCGCCCGCCCGCTCACTCGCCCGCCCGCTCACTCTCCCGCTCGCCCACTCGCCCACCCACCTGCTCACCCGCCCACCTGCTCACCTGCTCACCCGTCCACCTATTTACCCGCCCACTCACCCGTTCACCCGCCCACTCACTCATTCACCCGCCCACCTGCTCACCTGCTCACCCGTCCACCTATTTACCTGCCCACTCACCCGTTCACCCGCCCACTCACCCGTTCACCCGCCCACCTGCTCACCTGCTCACCCGTCCACCTATTCGCCCGCTTACCCGCCCACTCACCCGCCCACTCACCCGCCCTCTCACCCGCCCACTCACCCGTTCACCCGCCCACCTGCTCACCTGCTCACCCGTCCACCTATTCACCAGCTCACCAGCCCGCTCACCAGCCCACTCACCCGCCCACTCACCCGCCCACTCACCCGCCCACTCACCCGCCCACTCACCCGCCCACTCACCCGCCCACTCACCCGCCCACTCACCCGCCCACTCACCCGCCCACTCACCCGCCCTCTCACCCGCCCTCTCACCCGCCCTCCCCCAGGCTGGTGGTGGCGGCGGAGGAGGCGTTCACGCACGTGCGGCGCCTGCAGGAGGAGGAGCAGCGTGCGGGCACGGGCCTCACCATGGACCCGCAGGAGGCGGCGCAGGCCATCTTCCCCTCGATGGCGCGCGCCCTGCAAAAGTATCTCCGCGCCACCAAGCAGCAGCCCTTCCACAGCATGGAGGGCATCCTCAAGCACCTGGCCCACTGCATCGCGCACGACATGACGGCACGGGTACGCCCCCCTGAGACGTTGTGGGGGGTGGGGGTGGGTGGGCCACGGAGGGGCGAGGGATAGGGGGAGGAGAGGGGTTGAGAGAGGGCACAGTGGGGTGCGTGAGAGGTCACGGTGATGCAATGGGAGGTGGAGGGGGGGGGATGCACAGGGATATTTATTAGCCGGGCGGTGGTGGTGGTGATGGTGGCTACGCTGCTGCACGTGGCAGCTGTAACCCAGCGCTGTGGAGGCAGCAGCAGCAAGGGTTGGTGGATCACACACGGAAGGGGTGTGAAACTCCCTTCCCGTGGGCGTCGGGGAGGAGCTGTACCCTGGCTCGCCAGGAGAAGGCGGTACGCCAAAAATGTGCACTCCACCAGTTCTAGCTCTGTTTATTTTCCATTTTAACGTTTTACATTTGTATTCAACCAGTTAAGGCCCACTGAGCTATGTAGCTCTTTTTTCAGAAATGACCTGGCCACAGATTATAGCTGAACGATGAAGTGGCTTATCATCACGTGGACGTTTAATAGCAGCCAACTGCTCTAAACGCTTGATGTTGATTATAAATGCGCAGGGAAAAACCGGAGGACCCGGAGAAAAATCCACGCGACCACGGGGAGAGGGAGAGAGAAACACAAACTCCAAATATACAGCAGGCGTCATGGTCGGGATCGAACCCACGACCTCCTGTAAACCGGGCGAGGCAGTTAACATCTTTCCGCTACGTCGAGATGGGATCGAGGGTTTCCCCCTCCTCGCACACGCGCGTGCGTTTTCTCGGAGCGCTCCCGTTTCCTCCCACATGCAAACACTCGGTAATTGCTCGATAACACCTTCATATTATACAGAGGACTGCAGAGCTTGGCCGAGGGGGGGAGTTGTCCTCCTCTCTGCCTACGCGAGTGAGCGAATGCCGTGCAACGGCGGCGGTATCGGTAACCCCTTTCCCGTTCCGATGACGTACGTCTGTACATCATCGGAACGCAATCGGGAGAAAAATGTTAACTTTATTGGTACCGAGGCTCCCACAGGGCCATTTTGGCGCCAGCTGTCGTAGAGTGGCGTGCCGGGGTCGATGCACACCCTGACATTAAAACCCTTTACCGTCACGATTCCGTACCGATGGTCCGCTTACGTGTACGTCACGGGAACGGAAGACAAACGAAAAATGAAATAACTGAAATAAAATAAGTCGGAAGACGTAACCGAGGCTCCCACAAGGCCGTGCGGCGGTGGGAGGGACGCGCGTGGCACCAGTCTGGCGCCGGCTATCGCAGAGTGGCGGCGGCCGTGCCGCTATGGTTCTCCGCGGTGTAACAGCGTCTTTAAAAACAATGGCGCTGCTGCCGCTGCTAGACCTCTCTGAATAAAATTGACGCTGAGCCGCTCGCGTGCGTTCCGAGATTCGGCGGTTGAACGGTACGACCCAACGCTGCACTCTGCGACTTGCGGACGCCCCGGAATCCAAAGGGTTTAAGGTGTTTTCGGGCGATTTCATGAGGCGACTGGAGCAGCCGGGGATAACCCCCACACACGCGTGCGAGGGGGCAACACTCTATCCCACAGATGGAACCAGGTGGGTGGGTCCGCGTGATCACCGCGTCGCAATATTTCAGAAAATGAAAAAAACAATGAAAAGACAGCAGGACTCTCAATTATCCGCGCACGGGGAGGACTGCTGCGGATAATTGAGAATCGCGGATAATCCACAAATATAACCATTTTCCGCGGATACCTGTGCCGAAACCCACTCGTACAGGTGTACTAACGGTCGACCGATCGATGCGCGTGCTCAGTGATGACACATTCCTGGTCCCGCACAGCCCAGAGCCACGCCAATCAACATCAATCAAACTGCGCCCACTGTTGTGTAAAGATATTGCAACTACTGTACTGTAGAGGCGATCGCGTGGATTTCGGTTTAATCACCGCGTGACTTGTACTAAACATTTCCAAGAATAACAATGGTGTGCAACTGTTTAATGATTATTACTGTGCGCTATAGTGACAAATCCACGCGTTATCAACTCGCGTCAGAATCTCAGGAATCGCGGTCCCTCCACGCGCGGACGATCGGGAGCCGACCCTAATAACAAATGGCAGTAAATGACGGCGGCAATCGACGCGCGGATCTTTCGCAGGCCTTCCTGGAGAAGTACCTGAGCCCGGGCCCCACGGTGCAGTACGAGCCGGACAAGTGGCTGAGCTCGCAGTGGCGCCTGCTGAGCGCCGAGCCGGTGACGTCTGCGCTGCGCGACGGCACCGCCTTCTCGCTGGCGCGCGCCGACCTCTGCCTCGTGGTGACGGTGTCGCGAGCGCCGCGCTTCACCCTCTCCGAGACCTTCCTCGACCCCAAGTCGCACAAGTTCGTGCTGCGCCTGCAGTCGGAGACCTCCGTGTGAGGCCGGCGTGGCTGGCGCACGGCAGGTGTGGCCGACGACGGGTGGGGGAGGTCACATGACGGCGGGGGGGCGGGGGGGGGGGGAGAGTGTCTCATGGGTAAGGCCCGCGGTGTGTGGGACTTGACAAGTTTATCGGTTGCCACCTTTGTCAGGGTTTGACCTGAGGGTTTGTTTGTATTTTTCTACTTGCCTGCTTACCTGCCCCCTCCCCCCACCACTGGGGAGAGTCCGGGAGTTTGGCATTGGTGTTCCTTCCTCGACCCCAAGTTGCACAAGTTTCTGCTGCGCCCGCAGTCGGGAGACTTCCGCGTGAAGCCGGCGCCGCCGCCGCTGCTGTTGCTGCTGTGGTGATGGCGGTGGCGGTGTTCAAGGGCGGGGGAGGTCACACGGCAGAGGAAGTCGCACGGCGGTGGTGCAGTCGGGGCGGGTGGAGGAGTGTATTGTGGGTAACGCCGCCGTGTGTTGGGGGACTTGACGAGTGTATGGGGCTGCCACCTTTGTCTGGGTTTGACCCATGGGGGTATTTTTTTTTACTCACCTACCCTCGGGAGAGTCCAGGCGTTGGGCATCGATGTTCGTTTGGCAGGAATTGATTTGTACCGAGATCTGGCGGTGGTGGAATTGTATCGAACGGTGTCGTCGTAGACTGCACGGTTTCGATGGTGGACAGAGTGCTTGGTTGAGAAATACGTCCGGGAGATTTGTCTTGTTGGGAAGGTTGGCAACCGTTACCCACCCACCCATTTAGTTCACTCACCCATTCAACACCCCATCCACCCACTCCATTACTCAAACATTCAGCAACTCACCCACCCACTCATTAACTCACCCATTTACCAACCCACCCACCCGACTGGCTCATTGACTTACATATTCACCCACTTATTCGCCCGCTCACCCACCACTTAACTAGGGTTTGCCACCTTGTCCGTGTCTGACCTCGTAGGTACAGTCTGAGATATGCCATTGATTTGCGTGGCAGTAATTGATTTGTAACCGACATCTATCGAGCGATATTGCCGTGCTGAACTTCATTACGGCAAACCTGTGCACGTTTTTTTGACAATACACCTGGTGCCGATTATGAGACGTTATATATACATCCGGGTTTGGTCTACAGTGTAAAAAAAAAAAAGGACTCAACTCCACTTCGTTTTTATAAGTCGGTGAAGATCAAAAGACGACCACAGGGGGCTTGTTGAGTGTCCCATCGGGGGGCAGAGGGGGGGGAGAAGGAGACATCGTCGGTAACGTCTGGGCGATGCCGAAAGCAAACGAACGGGCAGTCGTATCTCTGTTCGTGTGCGCGCGTGTGAACATCCGTCATGGCCGTGCTCATCGGAGGTGCGCGGTGGGGGGGGGGGTGGTAGTACAACAGACTAACACACACACACAACAAGCAGTTGTAGAGAATTGAGATTGTGTGTGTAAGTTGGAGCTTCTTTCGCACCGTACATAGCCAGCCGTGCTCGCCGGAGGTGCACGGGAGGGGGGGGGGGAGACAGAAAACAAACTAACACACAACAAGCAGTTGTAGAGAAATGAGAGTTTGTGTGTGTATGTTCGAACTTCTATCGCACCGTACGTTGCCAGCTGTGCTAATTGGAGGTGCGTAGGGCGGGGAAGGACGACAAACCAAACGCGCAAGATAGAGCAGTTTTAAAGCAGTGACTTTTCAATCTGGTTGGCAGCCCCCAATCAATATGTGGACATTCCGCTTTGCTATGATGGGGGGGGGCGGGGGGGGGGGGATGCAGTTTATAATCTTTTAGGGACGACCACTGTTGATTTACCTCAAAGTATTTTAATATTTTTTTTTAGTAAGAGGCGGCACGGCCAAGTTGCGTTTCGTTCGCTTCTGTGGAACTCGGGACCGTTTTAATCAAAATCAAACTCACTTTGGTGGCGGCGGCGATGGCGGCGGCTGTCTCTCGTCTTGAAGCCGGCGCGTGTGTTTTTATAACGGTGATTATCAATGTCGGCTTGTGACGCGTCGTCACTACGTAGCATTGGCCCGCTCTCGCACACGCAGCGGGGAGAGCGAGGACGGCCGAGAGGTGCGATGAGGCGAGACGGGCGAGCGGGAAGGTAGCAGCAGTAGCATGGTGGCCATGACCTGGGCACGCTTCCGACTGTCAACCCTAACCTCCGAATTCCTCCGTTATACAGGGACGAACAAGTTTGGTTCCAGAGGTCTGTTCTTAAATAGATTTCTTCGTAAGTCCCAACTGGTTCTTCACGTTGTGCAGATGTAGATGCCGCTGGTTCTTCACGTTGTGCAGATGTAGATGCCACTGGTTCTTCACGTACTGCAGATGTAGATGCCATTGGTTCTTCACGTTCTGCAGATGTAGATGCCATTGGTTCTTCACGTTGTGCAGATGTAGATGCCACTGGTTCTTCACGTTGTGCAGATGTAGATGCCACTGGTTCTTCACATTCTGCAGATGTAGATGCCACTGGTTCTTCACGTTGTGCAGATGTAGATGCCACTGGTTCTTCACGTTGTGCAGATGTAGATGCCACTGGTTCTTCACGTTCTGCAGATGTAGATGTCACTGGTTCTTCACGTTCGGCAGATGTAGATGCCACTGGTTCTTCACGTTCGGCAGATGTAGATGCCACTGGTTCTTCACGTTCTGCAGATGTAGATGCCACTGGTTCTTCACGTTCTGCAGATGTAAATGCCACTGGTTCTTCACGTTCTGCAGATGTAGATGCCACTGGTTCTTCACGTTCTGCAGATGTAGATGCCACTGGTTCTTCACGTTGTGCAGACGTAGATGCCACTGGTTCTTCACGTTGTGCAGATGTAGATGCCACTGGTTCTTCACGTTGTGCAGATGTAGATGTCACTGGTTCTTCACGTTCTGCAGATGTAGATGCCACTGGTTTTTCACGTTCTGCAGATGTAGATGCCACTGGTTCTTCACGTTGTGCAGATGTAGATGCCACTGGTTCTTCACGTTCTGCAGATGTAGATGCCACTGGTTCTTCACGTTCTGCAGATGTAAATGCCACTGGTTCTTCACGTTCTGCAGATGTAGATGCCACTGGTTCTTCACGTTCTGCAGATGTAGATGCCACTGGTTCTTCACGTTCTGCAGATGTAGATGCCACTGGTTCTTCACGTTCTGCAGATGTAGATGCCACTGGTTCTTCACGTTCTGCAGATGTAGATGCCACTGGTTCTTCACGTTCTGCAGATGTAGATGCCACTGGTTCTTCACGTTGTGCAGATGTAGATGTCACTGGTTCTTCATGTTCTGCAGATGTAGATGCCACTGGTTCTTCACGTCCTGCAGATGTAGATGCCACTGGTTCTTCACGTTCTGCAGATGTAGATGCCACTGGTTCTTCATGTTGTGCAGATGTAGATGCCACTGGTTCTTCATGTTCTGCAGGTGTAGATGCCACTGGTTCTTCACGTTCTGAAGATGTAGACGCCACTGGTTCTTCACGTTCTGCAGATGTAGACGCCACTGGTTCTTCACGTTATGCAGATGTAGACGCCACTGGTTCTTCACGTTCTGCAGATGTAGACGCCACTGGTTCTTCACGTTCTGCAGATGTAGATGCCACTGGTTCTTCACGTTCTGCAGATGTAGATGCCACTGGTTCTTCACGTTGTGCAGATGTAGATGCCATTGGTTCTTCACGTTCTGAAGATGTAGATGCCACTGGTTCTTCACGTTCTGCAGATGTAGATGCCACTGGTTCTTCATGTTCTGCAGATGTAGATGCCACTGGTTCTTCACGTTCTGCAGATGTAGACGCCACTGGTTCTTCACGTTCTGCAGATGTAGACGCCACTGGTTCTTCACGTTCTGCAGATGTAGACGCCACTGGTTCTTCACGTTCTGCAGATGTAGATGCCACTGGTTCTTCACGTTGTGCAGATGTAGATGCCACTGGTTCTTCACGTTGTGCAGATGTAGATGCCACTGGTTCTTCACGTTCTGCAGATGTAGATGCCACTGGTTCTTCACGTTCTGCAGATGTAGATGCCACTGGTTCTTCATGTTCTGCAGATGTAGATGCCACTGGTTCTTCACGTTCTGCAGATGTAGATGCCACTGGTTCTTCACGTTCTGCAGATGTAGACGCCACTGGTTCTTCACGTTCTGCAGATGTAGACGCCACTGGTTCTTCACGTTCTGCAGATGTAGATGCCACTGGTTCTTCACGTTGTGCAGATGTAGATGCCACTGGTTCTTCACGTTCTGCAGATGTAGACGCCACTGGTTCTTCACGTTCTGCAGATGTAGATGCCACTGGTTCTTCACGTTGTGCAGATGTAGATGCCACTGGTTCTTCACGTTCTGCAGATGTAGATGGCACCACCGCCATCTATTGCGCGGCAGTTGAACTTGCGACTCTCGGTCCGAACGGGCAACTCGACCCTACGGCCAGGTTTGTTCGTATTGTTGAAAGTTCGTAAGTCGAATGTTCGTAAGTGGAGGAATCGCTGTATGGAGGCGTCATCGGCATGGAGGGGGACATGGGAGAGTGGAATTTCACTTGTCGGACACTTGAGCTCGCACGAATCTCGCTTCTGTGATTCTGGGCGGACACGATGGTGGAGGGGGGGTGGGTGTGTAAGGTGTGAGGGGAGGGGGAATTGGGCTCTCATTTAACTCGTGAGAACTGGATTCAAGAAAAAACGATCGCGGGCACAAATCCAACTCCAGCAGGCGTGTGTGGTGGCAGCAGCTCCTCTTGTCATTGGGAGAAGTCAACAGTGGTGGTGCCGGGGGTGGGGGGGGAGTGCAGGATATTGGGTTGTGGACTCTTTGAGTTGTGACCCAGGAGGACTGCCTTATGGAGAGAGACGCAGCTCCCCCGCCAACACACTTTGGAATTCGATTTAATTTATTTCCGTTGGGTTTTAAATTAAAGGGGGAGGAGAAAAGAAAATCCGTATCATTAAGACAGCCTTGCCCTCCCCACCCCGAGCCTTCGGCAAAGCCTCTGTCCAATTCCGCATTTTCACGTTCTCATCCAGCCCAATTCAAAAAGAACACATTCACTCTCTCCGTCTCCTTCGCTGCCCGATGGGCCCAGCAAGACTTGCAGCGGGCTTCCTCGCCGCCTCTTTGATTTAAAACTCGATGATTACAGTGGCGCCGCTCGCGATATCCCCTCGTGGCGTATCCCCCCATGGCGTATCCCCTCATGGCGTATCCCCTCATGGCGTATCCCCTCATGGCGTATCCCCTCATGGCGTATCCCCTCGTGGCGTATCCCCACCCCCACGCGCCCGTGAGAATCGATCGGCGACGTTTGAAACCCCCTCACCAACTCGGAGGAAAAAAGTGGAGCGGCGAGCACCGTACGAAGCCTCCGTCGCGGTGCGCTCTCGCGCAAACGAGAGAGAGAGAGAGAGCGAGCGAGTGGGTCGCGCGAAGCGACAGAAAATTAACGAACTTGAACCGGATCGTTATGGCCCGGGACGGGCAAAACCCCGATGCAAACTCCCGTGAGTGGGGGTGGGTGGGGCGGGTGGAACAACGCTTGTTGCGTTGGTCGTTGCGCGTGTCCACCCAAGGGAGGAGGGAGGGATCGCCGGGGGTGGAAATAAGCAGTCCTGCGGCGATCGACCGAACGCCGCGCCAGATCGTCCGTCCGTCCGCGCTGATGCAGGGCTTCCGCGTGGGACTGCGGTGGCTGCGGGAGCGGGCATGCTCCAAAAGCTCGCGAGCGGGCGAGTGGCCGATCCACGTTTCGTTGTCGGTCTCTGGCAGTCGGGTGGCGTTTTTCGGATCCGCTCGAGGGAAGTCTCGATGACGGTCGGCGAGTGGCGAACAGGCAACTGCTGGTTTCGCCTCTATAATACCCCAGCAGGCCAGCGGATGGGGCGCCACCGGTACGCACGCGCGCACGTTGGAACTTCTTTCGCGCCGTGCGTAGCCGACTGTGCCAATCGGAGGTGCGGGTGGGTGGGTGTGGGTGGGGGTGAAGGGCACCTGAACGTTGACCGCTGTAGCTGCTTTTGGGCGCACCCACTTACAGAGATGAGCGACCGTCCGTTTTGGGGCCGCGTCTTGCTGTACCGCGTAGCCTGATGACGACGACGATGTAGATGTTCCTGTCATGGCCGCTGGTCCGGGTCACAGCGGTTGGCCTCCACCGCTG